TTGATTTCTTCAACTATCATGTGCCATTAATAACAATAATTTAATAATAATAATAATAATTCGAGAGGGTGACACATGACAGCATGAACTGATAAACTAGTGGCCCTCTATGCTAAACATCTATGAGTAATTATAAAATAATTTTGAATAGTACAAAGTATGAATATTAATTGCAAAACATCTAACATCTCCAGTTAAAGAATATATATGTGGCTTTAGTTGAAGTTCAGTTATATAAATATTATTGTAATGTTTTAATTTTACGAATAATTTCAATTAACTAACCTGTAAAATGAGAAATCTGTTGTGATCTAAATCAATGCCACAATCTTTAAGAAGTTTAGCCACCTCCTTAAATGGGACTTTGCGGCAATTAACATAATAGTCAGAACTATTGTCTTTGCGTGCTGTGCGTGACACAGTAAATTGACTTCCTGCCACAACTTCATAGTCATCTCCTGGCTGTAGAACAAAAAGAGAGAATGATGGTTAAATCTAAAATGTAGAAAAAAGAAAGAAACATTACCGTATCTCGTTGTTGACAGGTTCTTTGCTTCTTACTGTTGCTGTGCTAATTCATTCATTAGTTCACTGAGGGGATCATGTGTACAAAAGGTATCCGCAGTCAAGTGTCGATCAATACCCTCGATCAATGCCCTTGATTGACACTTGATCATCACCTTGGTTGACACTCGATCAACACTCCTTCGGCATTTCAGTCAACAGTTGGTCGACAGCTGACTAATTTTCAATCGATACATATGAGTCGGTCAACACTCAGCCAACTATCGACCGACCGTTGATAAAGTGTCAATTGAGTGTCGACCAAGTCCAGAAATGTACGCTAATGAGGTGCATGCTCCTTATGATAAGCATCACTAAGTGTCCTAGTTTGTTAAAAAAGGTCACCAAAACACACATAACAATGTCAAATATGAAGTAATATAAAAATGACAATTTGTGATGCTTCTCATTTATAAGGAGCATGCATCTCATTAGCTTTCAAGCCTGGCCATAAGTGGATCGAGGGTATTGATCGACACTCAAGCACAGATGCCTTTATTTTTGTTCCTGCTATCAAGCCTCCTAACAATATTATTCTTTAGAAGTTGCAAGCATCATGGAGCAGATCAATATATTTTTCTGGGTTTTTATCTGAAATGACCATCACCACCCATGACGCAAATGTCTTGCATGGCAAACTTATTCTCCCCTACCTCAACTACTAAGTAGCTTTTACTGTATGTCTCCAATTAAGCAAGGACAAGTAAGCCAATCAGAATATACCTTCTGCTTATACCTGTATATCTGGCAGGTCTTAGGGTTAGCAGAAATGCTTCATTTTGCCTAACCACTTCTCAAACTTGTTAATAATTCAAATGAAATCATGACCAAGATGGTGTTTGGATATTTTTATTTCTCTGTTTTCTCCTTATTATTAGTTTCAATTGAAAGGATATATTGAACATTCAAGACCATGCTTGACCATATTTCCCCACAACTCCAAGTTTGTCAAAAATAATCTGCTACTCATCATAAGAGTGTTTGGAAATGGTTAACGTGGTCAGACACATTCCATCAGTCCTTTGTGCTTGATATATTACATGAAGATACTTAAGTTAAACCATTCTAGCTTAACAACAGCAATTAAAATAACTACAAGAAAAACAATTTTAAAAACTCTAAAGACAAAAATAATGAAGAATATTTTGATCGTGTATACTAAAGGGATCCACAGTCGAGTGTCAATAGATACCCTCAATCAACACCTTCGATCGACATCTTGATCAATACTCTATCAAAATCCCCATAGATACTCAGTGGACACTCGATCAACACTTTATCAACAGTCAGTTGATAGTCGACTGAGTGTTGACTGACTGACTCATGCATCGATAGAAAATTAGTTGATTCTTGACCAACTGTCGACTGAGATGTTGATAGGTTGTCGATGGAGTGACAGTCAAGGGTCGATCAGGGTATTGATTCAGGGTATTGATCAACATTCAGCCGCGGATGTCTTTAGTACACATGATTTAAATATTCTAATTTAGTAATTACAAGTAGGTAAGACTGCATTTTGTACAGTATTCAACATTCATTTCATTCATTAGATGACTAAGAAAATCAATTAAATTTCTTAGTGACCAGGCTGACCAAGTGTGAAAAGCTGCTACCATTGAATCAAATACCGTCATATTGATTACCCAACCTGTAGGTCGTAACGTTGAGTCCTGCTTTACTCAACAATTCTTTGCAATGTCAGGGCCATCGAGGATCTTTGGGGTGAAAGAAATATGTGATCTCCAGAGATTTTCTTTTTAAGCTACTTCCACAGTCTAATTGTTTAAAATGTAGTTTATCATGCAACTTACCAAATCAATTATTTTCTGAAAATGCACTGACACTGTGCAGCTCTGGACATTTTGATGGTTTTCAGAGTTGTGTATCAATTGAGAAACTTTCTTTGTTCGAATCATTTTTGAGCGGTAACCAAATACAAACAACATAGCATCAATGACATTGGATTTTCCACTGCCGTTGGGGCCAACAATGGAAGAGAAGTTCTGAAAAACAAAATATTCGCAACAGATATTTGAGAATCAACTAATCTTTACAACCACCTACATGTACGTTGTGTTCTACTGGGGGTAAACTGTGCTATATTGGTTGGGTTAATTGGGTTTTCAGAGTTTTTAACCGCTCATTAGAGATGGTTGCTTACTAGAAGTGGCTACGCACTGGGCTGAATTAATCAAGGGTGGTCGTTTACGAGAGCTTTTAGAATACATTGTGTTAGATTAAGTAATATTAGTTCATTTCAGCCTTAAATTTACTTGATAGATGATTCTTTCAACGAGCAGAGTTCGACTGTAAACCAAATAAATAAACCTAAAACAGTTTTTCCAAACAGAACACGGAGAAACTCGATCAACCCAACCAGACATAAACAGCTGACCCCATTAGAACATGACCAGACAATTACAATTTTGACGATTTCTACCGCTTTAACCGACACAGGATGGACAATTTTATAACAAGAACGTCCTGTTTTCTTTTAGGGCAATTCAACCAAATCTATCAACCAAATTTGATTCCCGTCGAAGCGCTTCTTCCCTACAAAAACCTTCAAACTCGCATTAGGTGGTAATCACATCACGCTCAACTTACGCAAGCTTGTGAGCGTAGTGACAAATGTCCCAAGATAACGTAAACTCTAATACCTTATGAAATGGCCCCAATTCTTGAGTTCCCGCGTAGGACTTAAAGTTTTCATTTACTATTTTTGTAATCATTAGCCGAGCTGTTCTAGACTCGGCTGCTGTATTTGGATGTTCCATGTCCATCGTCTGTTCGCTTCCCTGCTCTGAAGCTTGATCGTTGCAAACAACGTCCGCCATTTTGTCTTTTCTTTTTTTGGCGCCAAAATGTTCTCCCATGATGCTGTTCGTCAATTTAGACTGCATGGCTTTACCTATGCTGACGTCATACGAAGGGCCAAGGTTTCGTTTTATCGAGGTCTCATTATATATTATAATTTAGTATCACCCAACT